AAGTGACATAAACCCTGATAACTACTCTCAATACATGAGCCACACATCCGTCGCAAAGTATTTCTGGGTTAATACCTCAACTCCCCCCCACGGCTCCCTCCCTTCCTCCCGTGTTTGAAAAGACATTATAAAAGCAGCCCCCGGTGGCACATGTTTAAAGGTACATTAAGAGAGCACATCAATTGTAGATGACATAATCCGCAGTCCTCTTTTCAGTCACACTCTCTCTCTCTTCCTTAATCTCTCCATTCTTGACCCCCCCCCCCCCCCCCCCCCCCCCCCGTCTTCTAAGAGGCTGAAAGCTCCCTTCATCTTCTCTTCAAGCTAGCAGAGAAACCACGAGAAGACGACGTGTTACTGAAGTCTGATTAAATTAACACTCTGATGCAGATTTCTTGCCTTTTCCTCACTCCTCTCGGCTCCTCCGACTGAGTGCAGTCTTTGAAAACAAGACGTGCTTGTGAGGATAAAGGGTTTCCACGTGTGTGGTGAGGTTTTAATTGAAATTGGTCCACGTTGTTGGTAAGATCCATAACACGAGATGCAAATGTCTGTAGGTTAGTGTGATGAATTAATAAATATGTGAAAAGGGGATCTCATAAATGACTGGAGTGCTTTTTTCTGCTTTAAATAACATAATTTGTTAGAAGCACTTTCATTTTCTTTTCGTCCAGCTAACAAGAGGTTTACATAACTCCTGCAAGTGCTGATCGTCACACAGGAGCTTCTCACTGCTCCTGGTCTCTCTACTAATGCCAAAGTGTTCAGAGAGATTTGTGACTTCCTGTGATGCACGTAAGTTAAACTAAAGTCAAGAAAAGTTAACTTTGTTTAGGAGGGCAAACAGGCCGTCTCCTTACTGCACAAGTGGACTGGACTCCTGCTCAGACACTGATTAAATTCTGTCCATTTTAAGCTAATTAATCATTTCCATTGTTTGCATAAGAAAGATGCTGAGCAGACTTTCCAATTGCGGTGCTGGGCTTCTTGAAAGATAAAGATTAAAATTTGAGACAGATATTTAACTGTTTCCAATCAAATATCGACTGAGAAGATGACATTAGAAGGCGAACTGGCTATAAAATACCTGAAATGGGATGGATTTTCTCCAGTAGTGTAGAACAATCAAGCAGATCTGGAAAACGGTGACAAACCAGACCGAGCAAACCAAACTTTGCCTCCAAGAATTTCAACGCATCTTCCTGGATCACATTTGATCCTAATTCTTCAGAGGGAAAAAAGACACCATATGGAAATTGTGCGATTTTATTACTTTTACCCATTCAGCGTCTGAACTGGTGCCATTGTCCTGCTTCTTCTTCATTGACCCCATCCCGCCTCTGCCCATCTGCTCCAACAAGGTGATGTTTATCTCCAGCAAGAGGAAATTAAAGCCTTGCTTCATGAGCAGCAGATATGCAAATGTCGTGCAGTGTAAATAGATTGCAGCGCTTCCACGATGCAAGGTGTGCGTTGGCCTCTGATGATTTGAGGAATTAACAAACACACACTTGTGGTTTCCTTAAGCAAAATGGACTTTGAGATATTAAATAAAAACAAATAAATATAGGGAGGATAAAGAATTAATAGGGGAGCTAATTTTTTAAGCCAGAATGTTTATTCCGCTGGTCCATATGTGCAGATATGGTTTAATAACCTGTTCAACCACAGGTGGAAGCTTATCTGAAGCTCTGACAAGCATGCGCACACACACACGCACACGCACACACACACACACACAAACGCATGCACACACACACACAGAGAAGAGAGAGAGAGAGAGAGAGAGAGAGAGAGAGAGAGAGAGAGAGGATGATGGAGATGTTTTTTCTTGAACTCCCCAAAATTGGAAAGTAATAGTAGCCATGCAAAAAAACTGAAAAAAAGAGGAAAGCCCTGCAGTTGTGGAGTATGTAATTTTGATATGCATTAGTGGTATTGTCAGGCGGGGTGTATGGGATGTTTCCTTGTGTGATTGCAGGTCTGGCTTGTATTGTGGGAGGGAAGCAGACGAGAGAAGATAGTATTAAACCTGTCCTTGCCATTCCAATCTGTCTGCATGTTTCTCTTTATCATTCTGCAGTTTCTATCCACTTACGCTATAATTAAGTTTCCTGACCCCTGCCTTGCAGCCTTAACTAGGCATTGGGAAATATACAGCCGCTGCAGATCTTTTAGCCTGATGTGCTCCCTCCCTTCTACCCCTCCCGCCTCCTTCGTTTGTCTCCTTCCCGGCTTCTGAAAAAAATAAAAATGAATAAAACATATTTTTCACCCACTTTCACTTCCCTTTCTTGCTCCATAGCTTGTTAATGGGAAAAAAAGATGTATTAATCGAGTAATTATGCTGAATGTCTCTTTCTTTTTTTATTTTTCAGACTGTTTCAACAAATGTCCTCTTACATCACACCCCTACATCACAAACTTTATCATTCCACCTGATGACTGTGTGACCCGCCCCCCCTCCCAACATCCCTTCAACCTGATGATAAAGGGGGAGCAAATGCACAGAAAATAACCTCCAGCTTTTTTAGAAACACGAACAACAAACAGCCTAAGATCAGAGAACGACGCGCTGACACTGACATTCATCATGTAATAAAAAAAAAACCTCTTCAGTCATAATTAGTCTAATTAATTAAATCAGTGTTGGATGCCTATCTAAATACAGCGAACATCCAGCCTGCAGCACATACCCTCTGCCTATACGTTCCCGTGGTGAAACACACCCTGGTAGGATTAGAGCAGAAGAATAGAGGGATTATTATTTCATGACCTTTCAATCCGCTGCCTGTCAGGTTGAACCAAAGCCATATATGCTGCTGGAGGACTAATCTCCTTCTCCCTTTGTGTCCGCAAGGGATGTGTCATTTCTTTATCCGTTCTATCCAGATTTGCTCCATAAAATAAACTTCCTAGCCTGATTAGATAAGAAGCCATCTCCTTACCGGGATAAGGCTGCGGTGCCTCGTTTCCCTGGGCCCCTCCCAGCCGTATTTTGGGGGAGGGGGGTGTCATATAACTCAGACGGGGATGGGAACAGTCAGGAAATACCACTTTGTCTGTCTGGAAACAGGTGACAACAAAACGACAGTGACTCTGATTAGGAAACATCCAACCATCACCACGCTTTTCTCCCCTGCACAGCTTCCATCTCTCCAAAATTACACATTATAGACCCTCGCTAGGAAGTGTGAGATGCAAAACTCATATTTAAAGAAAACACACACAAAATTTAAAGCATCACTTACTAATATTATCATACCAGAGAGAGCTGTCCACCACATATCTTATCTTCTTTACTGTTTATTAGATTTAAATAATTTTTTTAAGCTTTAAAACACTTTTCATTAAACCACTCGATGAGATCTTGTATACAGAAGAAAATTGTTTTCAAGAAAGTTTGCTTTTAGATATATTGTCTTTTTTTACTCTAAAGAGACAACAAATGTCCAGCAAAAATAGCCCTACTTGAACTGAAGTTAGTATTCTTCAATATTATCATTTTTTCTTTATTCAAGTTGAAAAGTCTGCCAATGGGGTTGGATTGTTTGTTAGTTTAGAGAATTCTAGTTAAGTGTTTTTACAAAAAACAATAAAATTTTATTAAATTGAAGCATTTTTTAATTATTTCTTGTAGTGCTTTTATTGCAGATAAGATTTTGTTTCTTTTTCAATTAAAAATAAGATAAAATGTCTAAAACAAGGCTCTTTAACTTTCTTGAAGATCAGTTTTTGCAGTGTACACTCTAAAGAAAACAACACTGGCTAAACTTAAAAAATTGTTGTAACAATTTGCATTTAACTTCTTAAGTAATTCCAACTAAGCCATTATTGAGTAATTTCCATGAAACTTTTTTAGCTGGACTAACTCAATTAGTTCAGTTCAACCAACATGATTTGTTTTGTCTTTTAGAACCTAAATTTAGTTGAACCAACTCAATTTTTATATCAAAATTTTAGTGTTAAAATTGCTCAAATGACTATTTTTGTTGCTATAACTCATTTTTAAACTTTCCCTGTGCTTAAAAATGTCAGTGCAAATTGTTACAACAATTTCATTGAGTATTATGTTTATGTTTATGTTTATGTTTATGTATTTAGCAGACGCTTTTGTCCAAAGTGACTTACAAGTGATATTAGCAACATATTTCATTTAAGTCAGAATGACTTGGACATGACAACTCCAGTTTTACAGTCAAAAAAGTGTTTATTTAAACTTTTGTATTAATAACAATTTTTTTGCAATCAAGCACTAATATTGGAAGAAGGACATAGTTGCAGATGCGATCATTGCTAAAGCCCAGTCTAAAATATCCAGTGTCAGTGCAAAATGACAGCACAGTACAGAAACTATCTCATCAGCATCACTCAATCAACTAGTGAAAAATATACTTACTTAACTTACACTGTAATGTACTTTTGTACTACTGGAATAAATTTGAAGTGTAAACAGCGTGATGATCCGGAACATTTTAAAATGTGTGTTTCTGTGTGCTTCTAATATTTCTGTTAGCCCTTTCTTCTTCTCCAGCCCACCTTCCATGTTTATATTCTTACTCGTCTCACCTTTTCATTCACTGCCTTCTATTAAATGTGCTGTAACTGTACAGAACAAAGTGTAAAGAGCAAAACTTGCAAAGTGAATATGTACACACAACATTTCCTGCTGAATAATTGGACAGCTTAACTCTTCTCGTTTTTAGTACAGCAGTTTCCTTCTGACATAACCTGAGATATTAACTTTTACTAAACTTCAAGTCCATTCAGGGACGAAATTTTGATTTCAGAAGTGGGGGGGACACAGCAGGCTTGTGCGGATTTGGGGTGGGGGGTGTTATGTAAAGACCCCTTTTTTACGTCACGTGCTCATCTCAATAATTTTTCCATCCTCAATATATATATATATATATATATATATATATATATATATATATATATATATATATATATATATATATATATATATATATACATATATATATATCAAAGTTAAAAAATGTACAACTCTATTATTATTTTTATTTATTATCATTATTGAAGTGCAGTTTTGGCTGTTGACAATGGATAGGCCATTGTATTTATTGTTTTGGGTCTTTTTTATTGTTTTTGGTGCAACATTTTCTAACAGGGAGTGAGATTCCTTTTTTATTTAATTTTTGTTTGTTATTTTTATTCATTTAGTAGTTCTGGTTCTGGACATTTCAATGTTAAATGAAGGTTTATTTGTTGCATTTTAAAGGGTGTACTTGCATTATTATGATATATTAACATTATATTAGTGGTTATTTTGGTCTAGATAATGTTGACAATGATATCGTTTATCATCAACAATTTGTTGGACAAAATATCGTCCAGCAAAATTTGTTACATTCCCAGGCCTAGTCAAAAGTATAAAAATTATTTATACATAAACGGTCCCTCCTGAGATCTGGCCGTTTGTTCATTTGCTGTGTTAGAGGACATGCTGAACTAATGTTTTACACATGATTATCACCCTAACATTTGAGTGTATAAAAACATATTAAATGTTTTTTCCCTTAAAAGTGTTTAAACAGTTGTTGCATTTCAACACACAAAAAATAAATGGAAAAAATAAGATAAATCTAATGAAAAGTGTACATCTTTGACATTAAGCTTAAAAAAATCTGTTGACAATGATGATACTGTTCATTTTTCAGAGCTTTTTAATGTGAACATATACATTGCAATAGATAAGTTTACAATAAAGTTAAATGATAAAAGTTTTGAAGTTACACTTCTACTACTACTACTACTAGTAATAATAATTATGATGATAATAGTAATAATAATAAAAAAATAATTATAATAATACGAATAAATTGTGTCTGAGGAGTCAGTTATGTGGAGGAGATGAGTTTGTAAAAGTTAGTTTTGAGTATGTTTGTGAAGGAGGAGGTGAGTCTGAGCTTAATGCAGGTCTGTCACATGTTCCAACTTAAGTTTTGACTTTGAAAGAAGTCTCTTATATCCACTTTTCGTTTTCTTGACATGCTGCCTCCTGGCTGTGCCTAACTATCAAAGACTCACAAATGAACACTTATTCAAATGTTATGTAATGGAAGCTGAGCTGAGCTCTGATATTACACAGCGTCTAGTTGACGATGTGACTCAGTACCGGTGTTCCCTAGCGGCTCCAAACTAGCAAAACAACGTGAGCACGTTCTGTTTACAACTTGAGTGACAGCAGCAACAGCCAATAATACGTTAGCAAGTATCAGCAGAGCCAATAGATTAGCTTTTGGGCGGGTCTAATAGGAAACCGGTTTCCGTTTCGGTCCTAGTGCTCAACCAAATCCATTTAATGGAGCGTAATATTGTTTTTGGACGGAAAAAAGTGCAGGGGACCAAAACTGCCTTTTGAAAAAGTGGGGGGGACATGTCCCACCCGTCCCGTCCCCCAAAATTACGTCCCAGAGTCCATTATAGGTGTAAACTTAGTGTACTTTAAGTAAACCTTAAAAACATTTAAACACAGTGTATTAACAAATGACATTTCCTGCTCAAATAGTAGACAATCTTCAGATATTTTAGAACAGCAGTTTAATTTTCAGAGACATTACTTTCGGGCTTGCTTTCAGGCTATCCAGCTCAAGAAATACCTTTTGAAACACTTCAAAGGTGTTTTTTAGTTCCTTTGGGTAGCTGAGATTGAGTGAGTAGATCAGTCCCATTAGCAAGGCACAGGCTCTGGGTACGTCTACTTCTTCCAGGACTTCTGTTCCCACCGTTCCAATCTGAGCGCTGGCTGGATCAGATGAGGCACCTCTGGTTACAATGATTTTCAACACTTCGTTGGTGAGATCCCGATCAACCTTGCATAAGTAGGTCAGAATTAAGATCAGAATCAAAAACACAAAAAAACAGTTAAAAACAAGACTTAACAAAAGTATAGCTTTTCGGTGTCAGATTTACCTACCGACTGCTCTTTAAAGAGCTTCTCCTCCTTTTCTCTGAGGTACACCACCAATCCATGGATTGAAACCTCTCTCCTCATTTCCACAGAATCATCCTGTGAATAAGATGACAAAAATATTAACGTATTCCTACAGTGGGGCAAAAAAGTATTTAGTCAGCCACCGATTGTGCAAGTTCTCCCACTTAAAATGATGACAGAGGTCAGTAATTTTCATCATAGGTACACTTCAACTGTGAGAGACAGAATGTGAAAAAAAAATTAATGAATTCACATGGCAGGATTTTAAAAGAATTTATTTGTGAATCAGGGTGGAAAATAAGTATTTGGTCACTTCAAACAAGGAAAATCTCTGGCTCTCACAAACCTGTAACGTCTTCTTTAAGAAGCTTTTCTGTGCTCGATCCACTTGTTACCTGTATTAATGGCACCTGTTTGAACTCATTATCTGTATAAAAGACGCCTGTCCACAGCCTCAAACAGTCAGACTCCAAACTCCACTATGGCCAAGACCAAAGAGCTTTCGAAGGACACCAGGAAAAGAATTGTAGACCTGCACCAGACTGGGAAGAGTGAATCTACAATAGGCAAGCAGCTTGGTGTGAAAAAATCAACCGTGGGAGCAATTATCAGAAAATGGAAGACATACAAGACCACTGATAATCTCCCTCGATCTGGGGCTCCACGCAAGATCTCATGCCATGGGGTCAAAATGATCATGAGAACGGCGAGCAAGAATCCCAGAACCACACGGGGGGACCTGGTGAATGACCTGCAGAGAGCTGGGACCACAGTAACAAAGGTCACCATCAGTAACACACTACAACGGCAGGGAATCAAATCCTGCAGTGTTCCGCTGCTGAAGCCAGTGCATGTCCAGGTCCGTTTGAAGTTTGCCAGAGAGCACATGGATGATACAGCAGAGGATTGGGAGAATGTCATGTGGTCAGATGAAACCAAAGTAGAACTTTTTGGTATAAACTCAACTCGTCGTGTTTGGAGGAAGAAGAATACTGAGTTGCATCCCAAGAACACCATACCTACTGTGAAGCATGGGGGTGGGAACATCATGCTTTGGGGCTGTTTTTCTGCTAAGGGGACAGGACGACTGATCCGTGTTAAGGACAGAATGAATGGGGCCATGTATCGCGAGATTTTGAGCCAAAACCTTCTTCCATCTGTGAGAGCTTTGAAGATGAAACGTGGCTGGGTCTTCCAACACGACAATGATCCCAAACACACCGCCCGGGCAACAAAGGAGTAGCTCCGTAAGAAGCATTTGAAAGTCCTGGAGTGGCCTAGCCAGTCTCCAGACCTCAACCCCATAGAAAATCTGTGGAGGGAGTTGAAAGTCCGTGTTGCTCGGCGACAGCTCCAAAACATCACTGCTCTCGATAAGATCTGCATGGAGGAATGGGCCAAAATACCAGCTACTGTGTGTGCAAACCTGGTAAAGACCTATAGTAATCGTTTGACCTCTGTTATTGCCAACAAAGGTTATGTTACAAAGTATTGAGTTGAATTTTTGTTATTGACCAAATACTTATTTTCCACCCTGATTTACAAATAAATTCTTTAAAAATCCTGTCATGTGAATTCATGGATTTTTTTTCACATTCTGTCTCTCACAGTTGAAGTGTACCTATGATGAAAATTAATGACCTCTGTCATCATTTTAAGTGGAGAACTTGCACAATCGGTGGCTGACTAAATACTTTTTTGCCCCACTGTATATGAGGAAGGGTTTCTAATCAGGGTTCTTTTCAAAATACTTAACCCCATTTCCATGACTGTATTTAAGTTGTTTAAAGGGGAGCTGCTGTTATTTGTAACCTGGACCTTATTTCTAGCATGCAAAACGTTCATTTACTCATCCAGACAACTTTGGTGCTATCTGAGTCCTCCGGGAGATTTTCCCCATAAGTGTATGGGGAATTTCCCTCTGGGATTAATAAAGTATTTTTGAATTGAATTGAATTGAATTTCCATATAATGAGATACCTGTAATAGGTAATGCAAATGGCCTCTAAATGAGGCATTATCTGACACAAAATGCCTTCATTTTACTAATGTTTTGATATAAATCGCTAGCGCTACTCACCTGATAGTTCAGAGCATTGATGTTATTATCCAGGATGTTTTACAGTTGTTCAGTACAACTAGCAGACGCTTAGCTGTCAGTAGCCAGCGCTTTCAGTGAAGTCATGGCCATGCGCCATCTTAGTTGTTGTATGAGCAGCATTTGTACATTTTCCTATAATTCCATAACCAACCATCACACGGCACAGAGTGAAAGTTCTGCTCAAACTACAACTAAGATGGTGCGCGATCGTGATGCCACTGAAAGCCCTGGCCACTAAAACAACCTATATGTATCTCAAAAAACTCAGACAGCACCAAAGTTGTCTGGATGAGTAAATTAACATTTTACATTTTAGAAATAATGTCCAAGTTGCAAAAAACTGCAGTTCCCCTATTAATAAGAGGCAATAATGAGGTTTTTGCTCCAGGAGGAGGAAGAGGAGAAAATCGCAGGAGAAGAGGAGCATGAGGACAGATGAAAAGGGAGAGACAGTAAAATGGAAGAAAATGGAGGAAGGGGCCAGGACAAGATGGAAGAGAAGAAGAGGAGGACAGGTAAAAGAGAGAGAGGTTTAGAGAAGCATGGAGAAGAGGAGGAAGAAGAAGAGTATAATGCAATAAGATTAAAAAGGAGATTAAGACATTATCATAAAACAGATTTGTTTATGACTTGTTTCAAGTGCAATTTCACAAATTTCAAGAAAAATCTGCCAGTGAAATAAGATTTTTTTCTTTGTTGCAAACCCTTGTTCCACTGACAGTTTTTTTCTGTTTGATCCAAGTGTTACATTAGCTTGAAATAAGTGAATCTAACTTGGAAACAAGTAAAAAACAACTTACTTTTAGGTAATGTCTCAATGTTTAGAGTACTGAGAGATTTTGACTAGAAAAATATTGAATATTCTCTGTTTGAGTTTGAGTTCTTGCAGTGAGGCATGAGAAAAAATGGGGGAAGGAGTAGAAGAGGAGTGAGGTAAAGGAAGAGGATTAGGGAAGCAGCCATCGCCATCGCCACTATCACAGATCTTGCTCTGTGAAAAATCCATAGTGATCCATCAGCTGCCTGCAGGGGGTGGTGCTTCCCGCAAATCTACATTCTGTAGAGTGCAGCTTCCTCCTTTTGGCGGTAAAGAGTCCTTGGAGCAAATATGGCCGCTGGAACCTTACGGCTATACCGGTAGTTTTGGGTACCGGTTCAGCTATGACACTAAGGAGCTGTGTCTAATCCATGATGTGGCTGAGAACGAACCTCTCAAGCCATATTTATCACATTCAGCGGTTCTGTCCTACAATGACTGGGCAGTGCTCAACCTCGCAGTTCCACGCAAGGTGTACAAAGATGATCGTGAGAGACCTCGTTCGGCTGTAAAACGCAACAGGCCGCAAGCTCTTCCATTGCTGGATGAAATCCAGAACGCCGTGATAGCTTTCAGCGCTTCATGGGAGGGGCTGGAGGAAGCAGTTGGGCAGTGGATTTTCAAGGCCTCGGTCCTGAAGGAGGATTGGAGCTCTTTTTTGTGCTGGAAAATGTGCACGTTGAATGCGGTATTTACCGCCTTTTACAGGTTGTACCTTTCGAGGCCTGGTGTGAGAAAATAGATGAAGTGGGGGATCGTATCACTTCACCTTTTCGTACCAGCCGCTTCTGGAAAGACATTCTGGAAAAAAAGCTGGAATTCTAAGCCCCGCCTCAGGAGAAGGAGAAGGAGCGACAGTCGCATCATCAAACCACGCCCCCCACCCAGCACTAGTTATAAAGAGGTTTCAGGTAGAAACCATTACATCCCAGACGATCTAGCGCATCAGCATGATGGGTTTCTAAACTCAGTCAACCCTTGATGAACTATGGACCACGGACAGCTTTTCCCTGCAACTGAGCTGGGTACTAGCGGCTTCATCACCACCGAGATACAACGGCAGTCCGCGGCCCACGTCGCCGCCACCACCATCATGCTTTCCGGAGGATAACTTCCCACGACTCCCCACAATCATGGAGGTTCCGGAGGCTGTCTCTGCTAACGTACCATTCCGACCCTGGATCGACGAGACTCCTGCGAGTCCTGATACTGCGCATCCTTCAGTGACATCAATCCCTGACCCGCCACTGGTTTCGCCTCAACCTGCTCGGGAGCAGGATGGTGTCCAACAGCAGCAGCAGCAGACCCTCGACATCCAGAGCACCGGTGAGGAGCCTCAATGTCTGCCTAACTGGGTGTTTTCAGAAGACAAGTTGGACCGAGTGAAGATGCGGCTTCTTCACTTGGTCAACATGGCGATCAAAGCTCACTTACCTACAATCTGCCACGGATGCAAGATCGATCACCCCAGTCAGCGGCAACACGAATGTCTTTACGGCAATCATTCTATCGGTGTGCGCGTGTGCAGCACGCGTACATTTTTTCCGTTTTTTAGTGGCTCGGGAGTCTACAGTGTGTGTCTCTGAGACCCGTTTTGTTTGCAAACGACATTTCTTTATATATATATATATATATTTTTTTTTTTTGTGTGTGTGTGTGTGTCCTGTCTGGCTGTGAAGCAAACAGCAAACAGAATTTATGTCTGAGATCTGGTAACAAGCCTTACAGATTTACTCTCAGGTGGAGCATCAAAGCGTCTTGCTTTAATGTCACGCCTGATACTTAAAACTTTATTGTTATTGTTTTTGAATGTTTTGTAATTCCGACCAGACACGGTGTCAGAGGTGAAAGAGAAAGGAAGATACAAAAGGTGTGTGTGTGTGTGTGTGTGGGTGGGTGGGTGGGTGGGGGGTGGGGGGTGGGGGTCCACAAAAATAAACAATAACGAACAAGAGTCTGCTTCTAGACCTGCAGAAAGAGAGAAGAAAACGAGCTAACCAGTAGGAAATATCAACTTTCCATAAAGTAGCTAAGGGTTACCAGAAATGTTTCTAGGTTGTTCGCTAGCTACTTTCAGAAAAAAGGTCAAAGAAGAGGATCAGAAAAGTTAGAAATAGCGACAAAGTTACTAGGAGGTACGCTCGATTTGTCACTAGGAGGTGTGCTCGATATGTAACTCGGAGTAAATCACGAGGGAGGAGCAAGTAACTGGCTCATTTTGTTTTTAATGATTGTTCAAAACTCAGATTGTAATTGTGATTAAAATTCCATTAATTGAGCAGCTCTACTGGAGGAGTGAAAAGTAATGAAAATGCGGGACTGCTCTGCACAAAGCAAAACAATCGCTGATTTTCCATGAAATCATAAACACATACAGCCACACAGAAAACCATCTATAGTGTTGCAAGGTAACGTTAGTGTTAGCATTTCCAGTGGCAAAGCCCTTGACTGCTGCGGCGGTTGAGGTTGATTCTCTTCATCCAGATCCGTAGGTTTTTGTGGGTCTGAGATAATTTCCAAAGATTCATTCGTTTCTGACTGAACACGTGGAAATTTGGGCAACAAAAACCGATCCATTTTACCACTAGCTCTACCTTTCACTCGTTCGCAAGTGGAAAATGAGG